TTTGGCCTGTCAATTTGGAAAACAAGTCAGGCAAAATGATAACACCACTGTCACAAAGAAGATCACAGACAAACAGGGAGCCATCAAGAAAGAACAGTTGGAGCCAGGTATGACAACATTCAGTGACCAATTTGGAGTCACGAGTGAGAGGAAGATTGATGCACACTGCAGTAAGGGAACAAGACAGCAATAAGTTCTGTGGAACTTCAATATTTGTTGATGCTGCATCAGCAGCCATCTTTACCCATCACCAAGTTACATTGAATGCTTCTGATTCTATTATGGCCAAGGAAGCATACGAAAGATAGTGTCTCGAACATGGGGTAGTGGTTCGTCATATCACACTGACAATGGAAACTACAAAAGCCAAGCATATGTCCAACATCTTAGCGACCACCATCAATCAATCAGATTCTCTGCAAACCGGTGCACAATGGCAGAATGGGGTTTCTGAGGAGCCATTAGAATTGTAGAAACCAAAGCTAGAACAATGATGATCCACGCTGCACTTCTATGGCCGTAAGTTGATGATGAATCCCTTTGGCCTTGGCAGTCTCTCATGCAGCACACCTTTACAACCACACTCCGAATTCAGTCACTGGCATTGCTCCCGTTGAGATATTTTCCAGAAATGTCAGTGATGGTCAAGTCATCAGAAATGCCCATACATGGGGATGCCCTGCCTATGTTTTGGAACCCCGGCTTACAGTGAAGGAGGAAAGATTCCAAAATGCCAGCCCAGCTCCAGGAGATGACAATATGTTTGCACCTCACCTGTCCATTCAGTAAATATTGGTTTGATCCGTAACCTTACATCCGGATACCTTTCGCCCCCGTACCATCTTGTCTATGATGATTGTTTTGAAACAGTTTACTCTTCAAGAAGATCAACCACCTCCAGAATAGACCAACATGTGCATTTTCCAACGCTTCGGAACCCTCTTTGATGAGGGCACTCCACCTCCCTTAGCCGACGAGTGGCTTACTACAGAAGAAAAGGCCATCAAACAGCACCGATCCCATCTTCATAAGCTTCGACAAGGGAGAAAATTATGGCAAGATGACAAGAGCAAAGACAAAAGGAATGATCTACATTTTCAAGATCCGTCTCCAGCACAGCCCAGGTTTCACACAGGGAGATTCCAGACCGTCTGCCATAGCTTCAGACCCAACAATTGCCTTCGTCTTGGAAAAGGGAACCTCCCATCGTCAGCACTCCACCACAGATGTTCCCATCGAGGCAATTCCTGTCGCTGCCCCACGTCGGAATCCCAGTAGGACAGCTTACAACAAGAAGCCTGAGATTCTGGACATGGACCAAAACTAAGGACTTATGCACGCCCTTCATCACTGCTCAGTTGTGCTTTAGCTATGACCTTTTGAATCACTCCAATTTCAGGGCACATGCTGCAAACTCAGGTAACTGGATATTCACCCTTGACCAACACCCAGGATTCGTTCCATCCTGGCCTTCTTCAAAGCCCACTAGCTCTCAAGGCCAAAACTTCCAGAGACCCTGATCTCCCATCTCTGAAGAAATCTCTGATGGGACCACATGCGAACCACTTCTGGGCAGTCAATGGACAAAAAAATTGCCAGCCTTGAAGGCAAAGGGACTTGGCACATCGTACAACGATCTTCAATGCCCTCACACTTCAAGGCAGTTCCCGGAACATGGGTACAACGATTCAAGAGGTTACCAGATGGCAATTGAACAAGTTCAAATCTAGATGGTGCTGCAGAGGTTACCTTCAGTCCTATGAAGGAACCGCATATTCTCCACTTGTCGGTTGGCCGACTGTTAGAGCCGGTCTTCTTCTTTCAGCTGCGCATGGATGGGAATCGAGAAAGTTGATTTTACTCTTTGCTTTCTGTCAGAGTCCTAAGCCTGCCGGATCAGCATGTACATGGAATTGCCTCAGTACTATCGACCAAAGATTATGAAGGACAGGACCTGTGTTTTGAAACTTGACAAGTCTATCTATGGCAGACCGATTCACCCAAATTATTCTATGAGCATCTAAGTCGTGGGATGATCCAAATTGGTTTCGAAACCTCAGAGCAGACCCCTGTTTATTTATCATAAGGAGCATCAACTCATGGATTAAATTATTGGATGACCAATCTGGCTCAGTCCGGACAATGATCTGATTGAGTCCTATGTTGGACAGCTCCAAAAGCTTGGATATGATCTCACTATGGAAGACAAGGGAGACATTTTTGGATTTCTTGGTATTAATTTTGAAAGACAGGAGACAATGTTGATTTACTCAAAAGGGGCTCATCAACAAGGTTATTGAATACACTGGTATGTCTGAAGCCAGCTCTAAGCTTCTCCTGCTGCCACCGATCCGCTCGGCGCTGACAAACTGGGGTGCCCCATTTGAAGAAGAGTGGATCTATCCAGCTGCAGTTATGGATGCTGCTTTACATTGCATCCAACACTCGCCCAGACATCACCTTTAGTGTACATCAGGTAGCACGATTCAGCCACAACCCCAGGCATTCCCATGCTCAAGCCATCCAACGAATCATTCGGTACTGATTGGCACAAGTGACAAAGGCATTTGGTTTAGCCCTAAGCTTGATCAAGGACTTGATGTTGGGTGGATGCTGACTTCGCTGGGTTGTATGGATATGAGGATGATCAGGATCCTGTTTCGGTTAAGTCTCGCACTGGTTTTGTCTTGACTTTGTTGGATGCCCTGTCATTTGGTCCAGCAAACTGCAGACTGACATTACTCTGAGCTCCACTGCTTCTGAATATGTTGCCTTCAGCCTGTCCATGAGGGAGCTGCTTCCTATGCGAGCCCTGCTCAAGGAAATTGGTAACAAACTGCATATGCCCGTAATTACTGACAGTTCTTGCGCTCTACAGTATTCGAGACAACCAAGGTTGCCTTGCTCTTGTGAATGTTCCCAAGATGTCAGCCCGCAACAAGTATTTTGCATTGAAGTACCACTCTTTCAGGTCGAATATCGGGGAGTCGAAGGGCATCGTGGCCAAGTACATTCCGACTCTAGAACAACGGGCCGACATCTTCACTAAGGGTCTGCCAGCTCCACAGTTTGCAGTCATTCGGAAGCTCCTCATGGGATGGTAATCTACCTCAGCACGTTGCTGGGGACTCTCTCCTATTGTTTCTTGCTACAGCTTCATTTCAGCTGTAAGGGAGTGCGACGGGATACAGCTTACAATTCAGCTTTACAGCTTTATAAATTGCGGGCCTATTCTAGAAAATAATCAATAACTGCTCACTTATTTGGAAATACAAACTTTACATCTCTTAGATCGTTAGATTAATCAATCCACAATGGTATTGTCGCAGGCCTACAGCTGATGTCTCGTAGTTGGATGTAGCGATTCAATCAATCCAGAGTATGTTCATTGGGCCAAACTGTTCGTGAAGTCGTACATGCAACGATCATTCAATGATACGGTACCGGTACGGCAGATTGTAGATAGAGATAGATAGATAGATAGTCTAGCATAGCTAGCCCGTTGGAGTGCATTTTTCTCTGGTGGGAGGTCAGTTCTACTAGGCCCCTCCCAAGTGGGCACCTTTGGGTGTACTTCTCTGGGGTACAAGGGTCCTCTATGGCTCCGGCCAGAGGCACAGTCCACTGCATGAAGAGGGGAACAACGCACATACCAATTTGTTGAGATGGTGCTAGTAGCACAGCGTACTACATGTAGTAGTCTGGGTGACAGGGGAATTACTAGGGTGGAACTCTAGTGCAAGTCCAGGCACAGCCCATGTAGTTTCTGTAGATGCTTTGTAGCTAGGGTGTCTGACACAAGATATAAGCTATTCTGTTATTGAGGCTATAAAGCTAGTTTTTTCTTTTCAAGGGCCGACAAGATCAATGGTTTTGAGACTGCGACATGGATGAAGCAGTCGAAGCAGTGGTGCTATCATCAGTGACAGTTTCGACTTGGTGCGGGTGGACATGAGTCGGAACCACGTAAGGCATGCCACCTGGAATCACTGGGGGAATCACTGGATTAGCAACGAAAGGGCGTTGTGCATAGACAGGCCTAGCAACTGGTACCGGTACCTGAGCTGGGGGAGTGGCTGCCTGTACTGGAGTTGGTGCTCGAATTGGTGGGGTGGCGGCACAGACAGGCTGTGGTGTTGGAGGCTGTGGTGCTGCAGGCCGTTGCCCCGCAGGCTGTTGTGGCTGTTGCCCAGGTTGGTTCTGTCCACTCGGATCTGTTCTTTTGGTTCCTGTGTTCATCAAGCAGAAGGAGTTGAGCACCCACCAGTCAAAGTCCCTGCCATTGGCCTCATCCCATGTGTGAGTTGAAGACTGGAGAGGGCAGGTCAATTGTGTTGGGCTTCTGTGAGAGCTCCCTCATTGTGGCCCAACACCATTGACTTTTCTTCTCCTAGTTTTCAGCTCACACATGGGATGTGATTGATTTGATCATTGCAGCATTGAACTCACCAGATACAGTCTGTTTGTGTTTTGTAGGCGGTGAGGTGATGGGGTGATGGCAGCTGGAGCGTGATGGGGAAGGCAATGACAACAGTGATGGGAGAGGCAGTAACACCTATATAGCACCAACAGATTAGCCAACACTAGACTTTTAGCATAGACAGTAGAATAGTTTGGTTCTATGATCTTGACTGTTAGCTACACGATAGACTAACTATAGAGCCAATGTCTTACCTATTTTGCCTTGACCTTCCACCCTAGCTAGTAATTCCCCTGTCACCCTGGGCTCGTTGCTCGGGTATGTCCTCCGAAGTTACGCAGGCAGCGTGACTGAAAAAGGCCAGGATGAAAGCATTTACGGGTAGGTTAGGCAAGTTTAGAGTTAAGGATTACTTTTACTTAACGTTTTTTTATCGAAATATGCATTTACCTCAACTATCCAAAGTTATCTTCCGGGCAGGTCAAGATTCAACCGGGGATGCCGGAGAGGGTAGCCGAGCTATCCGACTTGTCCGCTTCGACCTTGTTCGCAAAATCCCGGTGAGCTTACATATATTTGTAGCATTGGCCCCTCATAATTTGGCTGTTCTCTAGGAAGACAAGAAACAATTGAGAGTACTGCAAACTCTGGTGCGTAGATCTATCTATTTTGGGCTCTCATTATCAAATCTGCTCAGCGAGACAAGCTGCCGCCGAGGTCAAGATGAACCACACGCTCGAGATCAATGTGCCTCCCCCACCAGCACCTTTGGGAAGGCGCACAACGTCGAAGGTCGTCGAATTGAACGCCTTACGCTCCTCAGACCGTACTCAAAACATCATTGAGCCTCAAGGTTTTGCGTTTTCTGAGAGCCTCAACAAGACTCAAGGCGTGGCGCTGTTCCTTGGTAGTTCCTCGCATCAGAAGTCTGGCTCTCTTTTCGGAGGACAGGATCCAGCTCCTAGAACCTCCCCCAAAGAAAGGAGTGGCAGATCCACTTGCGTGACTGACAAACAAAGAGGTACCAGTTGTAGCCCCTCACCAAATAGGGCCGTATCCTTCAACACCTCAAACACCAGATTGGATGACAGCAAGGACATTGCAGGTCGTGAACCCCAGCAGAAGACTGCTCTTCTCGGCTCCCGATCCAGCAACTGTGATGTCATCCCCCCTATTCCCTCCAAACAAATCTCATGGGACGTCGCCACTGTCTCGAGTCACAGCAGCAACAGTTCCTTGAGCCAACGCTCTGGTCCCAGGAACAGCAATGCCCAGTGGCAGAGGACGGATTCTATCTGCACTAGCCAATTCCAGGAGTTTGGAACGCCTGCCCAAGAAACATGTGTTTGCAGATGCCAGGATTCAACCTCTGGTGAGGAACTTCCTGCAGACGATGATTCTCAGAACAGCTTTTACTGTGATTCTCAGTTTCCCAATGATCATGAAGGAGACTACATTGCCGAACAGGCACCAAGGAGGGACCAGGACGAATACAAGACGTTTCAAGAACTCACATCCCAAGCACCCAACAAGATGCAAAGCACTGCTGCAGATGAGACATATGAGATGGAACTTGCACCCGGTTTTTATGTCCCCTTTCGTGGTGCCAATGAAGTGTGGGATGCCATTGATAGCCACACTACATTGGAATGCACTTGTTTGGAATGTTCAATCCAATTAGTCTGTGTTAGAGACTGTGAACATGTTGTCTGTCCTGATTGCAGAATGGTCAACCCTGTCTTCGAGCACCCAGCTGGTGTTACCAATCCCTTTGGAGCCGGGATGGGTCTCAAGAAGGAATGGATCACCTCAGAGCAATGAAGGAGCCGTGGACTGCCCAAATGATGTGACGACCACAGGTACTCCCGATAGAACTAGAACCAATTCCCCCGCAGCACCCAAGCTCTTGCTTTCCATCTGCGGCTTATTTGAATGTGGTACTACTGGTACTATTGACTTACTTGTTACCCATTGGGACTGTACCTCCTACGGGAACAATGGTCAACTCCCGGATTGCTTAATCAGGAGGGCGCCAACGTTTCCAAGTACATGTATAAAGACCAGTGCGAATCCCATCACACCTCCCTCCAGCCACCCCTTTGTTGTTTTTGTGGATGGCATGCTTGCTCACCAAGCCAAGATTCTCTTACAACGCCTTGCTACGGTCAATGCCAACAAAACTCAGTACTCATACTCTCAAATGAGGTTCTTCATGCAGAGCCACATCTCAATGGCCCTGCTAAAGTCACTCATTTATGTCTCCGTGGTTCTGGCAAAGCCAAGCCCTTCGGCCCCCATGTTGCTCCTCGATTTATCTCCCCTGATCCCAAGAAAGCTAGTCCTAAATTTCCACTCTTCTTTGCCAAAGCCTGGACCTCACTAGCTTCCATACGGTGGATAACTTCCCTTCTATAAACCCCCTTTATCCAAACTATGAATAGCTAGAGAGATACGGTAGTACCCGAGCACTGGTAATCTGTAACGAAACACTGAATGAATCACAACTTGTCTAACTATGCAGTACGACGGTGTATTGGAAGTTGCCTCGGTACCTGGTAGCAAAATAGAGATTGCACCATTAACCTTATTATAAGAAAGTACGACGATGAGTTGAGTCAAGAGAGGGCCAACACCATACCATATTCAGCCAGCAACAAACACCATTCCTTCGTTTGTTGTGTTTTGTTGCTCGCTCGCTCGCATGCCTAATAACGAAGCCAGTAGGAATGACGACGGAACCAGTTGTAGTCACCAAGTTCGTGAATTCCACCCACGGCCGCCAAGGCATGATCTTGATCATTGATGAATTTGGCCGCCGTGGCTTTAATGTCGGCGGTTGTGACGGAATCAATGCGACTAAAGATTTCTGCCGGTGTCATGCGACGTCCATAGGTCAACAACTGTCGTCCAATATCTTCTGCGACATTGGAGTGTCCATCCAATCCCATGAGCATGGTGGCCTTGAGGTTCAACTTGGCACGTTCGACTTCTTCATCAGAGGGAGTGTGGACGAGACGGACCAAGTTGTTCATTAGTGTCCACATGCAATCATCGACCTTGACATCGGGACAGACCACGTAGACTCCAAAGAGCCCGGTATCTTTGTAACAAGTGTTGAAAGTGCTGAGCGAATGGGCGAGTTCATTTTCGGCGACCTCTTGGCACAGACGCGAGGCATGATTTTTTCCAATTCCCATGGTTCGGTCAAAGGCTCCCAGCATGACTTGCATCAACATGAGTGGGAATGCATATTCCGAAGTCCACGAGGCAGATTCATAAGCAATGGCAATGTGGGCCGTGTCGTCCGAGTTGAATCTTACTCTGTTCAGTCATTCATTCATTCAGCAACGTAAATAAAACAAAATATGAGATCTAAACCCAGACGACAATAACAAAAGACGTAACAATACGAAACGTACCGATAATCAGATCCGGTAAAGACGGCTGGATCCATGGCGACCGCAGCGGCATTACTGGGTGCCGTGGGCAATCCACCAAAATGTTCCCCGGCAAGGTCACACAATTGTCCGTGTTCAATGGCTCCCGCTCCGGCAATGACCATGCGAGGGGCCGTGTAGTGTGTCTGAATGTACTCGACGAGATCGGATCGTTTCAAGGATCGAATGTTTTCTTCCGGTCCTAGAATGGTACGTCCAAGTCCAGTTCCCTGAAATGCCGTAGCATGGAGATGATCCAAGACCAGTTCTTCTTGCTGTTTGTTGACTTCGGACATTTCTCGTAGAATGACATCGCGTTCCCGATCAATGGCGGCTTCGTCCAATTTGCTATTGAGCAAGATATCGGATAGAATTTCGACGGCACGTCCTACGTCGTTCTTGAATACCTTGGCAAAGTAGACGGTCTGTTCGCGAGATGTATAGGCGTTCCTGTACAAGAAAGTAGATGAAATGAAATGAGTACAAGAGAAAGTAGAAAAGAGACAATGTCTGTTAGCAAACAGTCCATTTTAGCATACACTATGTCTGTATTCATGTTGTACACGTATGTACTTACAAAGTACCTCCCATGTTTTCAATTTCGACTTCCAATTGTTGTTGGGTCCTTTTTTCGGTTCCCTTGAAGGAGAGGTGTTCTAGAAAGTGTGCGACACCATTGTTATCGGCCGTCTCGTATCTGGATCCAGCATCAATCCAGACACCGACCGTGGCGGTTTCACTTCCAACAACTGTTTCGGATGCCACTCGAAGACCGCCATCCAAGGCCGTCACATCCGTCGTGGGAGCCTTGAGGACATAGTCGGGAAAACTGGGTGCGACGGCCGCCGAAGAGAATGAGCGAGTAGCCGACGGGTGGCCTACCAACTATATGTAATAGATGACCGAAGAGACGAAACAAGAGAGTGTGAGACGAATGGATCCAACCCAACACATACATTGTCGTTGTCGTCAGAGATCGTCAGAGCACATAAATAGAGAGGTTGTGTCGAGCTCTCCAATAAATCCTGACAAATCCAATTGGAAGGGCCAGCGTCCATCCACTACATAGACAAAAAGGAGATCTGCTGTTCAACTGACTAAATAACTACGATACTCAGATGTTGTTTCCTCACCTTTCGAAGAGAAGCACGGAGCGCCATGGTGGATGTTTTGGTTGGCGTTTGCAAGGGTCTGTTGCTTGCTGCTGTTGGCTTGGCTTGTTCAGGATCTTCCGATGCGATGCTCATCACTGTGACGCAAGGCTTTGAGACAGGTCATGAGTTACTTACTTTCACCCTATCCTTAATCAACTTTTGAAAGCCAATCAACCTCCAGCTGTCAATGAGAAGCCAAGAACGCTTCTTCAACAAAGCGAAGCTTGAAAGAAGTGCCGATGATGATGGATGTACGACTGCCGCTCATTCATTCTTCATTATTTCTTGCATCAAAGAGACAAACACAAGTACAACAGTGGAAGACAGACACCAATCAATCAAAGAGAGAAAGGACACCACTGGTATACTATACCGTACAATACCGAACCCCTCCGATCCATTCAGAAGCAGAGAGGCAGACAAGACCAATTGAAGAGCTCACATTTCACAGTCCAAGACTAGTTTCCATTTGAGTGAGCACACGTTTGATTATTCATTCAAGAAGCACCACACGACAACCCACACAACAAAACCTCATTCTCATTTTTAAAATTAAAACTCACTCCAAACAAACAAAGACAGCCGAGATAATACAGTAATTCAAAATGGCCAAGAAACCAAGATCACAACGCCGCAAAAAGCAAAAAGATGGCGACCCTGCTGCTGATAACAACATTAATGCCAGCGACAATCCTCGCCTCGAGACTCTGTCCGACAGTCACACGGTCGACGACAGTGTAGGGATGAGCGTCATGTTGTTGGACGATTTTGACTTTGACGCCGAAAACAATAATGACGCAATGACAGACATTGATTTCAAAGACACGGGCAACCACGCGGCCGAAGAAGCCATGGCCGCCCGCTACCAACGACTCCAAGATACGTTGTCGACGTTGGAAGAAATTCCCACCATGAAACAATCGGCACGGCGGGAAGCATCCCTGCGCAAACTATTTCGGGCATTCTCCCAATATGCGACCGGACCGGCCGGGCAAATGGCAGTTGCCTCCAGACAAGATGAGATTCGCACCGCCTGCAATGTGCGATCGGGTACGACTCCGGCCGAACAGTATGCGGCGTGTCGCGTGTTGGCAGTCACATCGGTCGTGCTGGGGGCGGACCAAGATGAGTATTACGAAGCAATCGAACGACCGCTCCGGCGGGTCGTCATGGCCAATCGGGCTACACCCGTTCGTGTCGCTGCATTGCGAGCCTTGGCCATGGCCAATTTGATTTGTTCCAGTGATACGGAAACGGCAGAATCCTTGTTGGATTTGTGCGAAGCATTGGCCGCTACAGAGTATCGAGGATTGACCGTACCGGGCACGCTCCGTGCCGCGGCACTGGATTGTTGGTCCTTGTTGGGGACTACCATTTCCGATTATCACTTGTCCGGCAAGGACGATGTCATGATTGGACGGGGACTCGCCATACTCGACTTGCTCAAAGATAGTCTGGAAGATCAAGCCTGTCCGGAATTGCGATCGGCCGCGGGAGAATGTCTGTCACTCATTCACGAGGCGCGATTGAATTTGGGAACCGATATAGGTGAAAATACCACCGAACGGAGGTATCGACAAGGTTCCTGGGAAGGATCCGAATTTGAAGTCACCATGGACGAAGTCAAACAACGCATTGCCGAATTATCCACAGAGTCGGGGTATCACATGAGCAAAAAGGCCAAAAAGGAACAACGAGCAACCTTTCGAGAATTCATGAGTACCATTGTAGACGATGACGCACCGGAAGAAATTGTCAGTTTTCGCGGTGGGACCATTACACTGCACACATGGAGAGAAATCATTCAATTGAACTTTATTCGACACTGTCTGCAGGGAGGATTTCAAATCCAACTGCTCACCAATGAAACGCTACAAGAGATTTTTGGTGCCGACGGACAACTCTTGAATGCCATGACCAACTTGACAACGCTTGAAAAACGATTGGTCATGTCCAAAACCAGTGAGGCATCCAAAGCAGCCGACCAGGAATTGACACGACAAAGAAAGGTGCGGAATAATGTCAAGAACTATTTCTTGACAGCCGATGGAGATGACTTATAGTCAGTCGTAAGATACTGGTTGGGATTGTCTTGTTGTTGTAAATGTAAAAAGAGAAAATGTTGTCACCTTATTTTTTAAAACAAAGTGGTCGGACCTTAACTTCGCTTTTTGGTCTGCAATGTCTTCCGTCTCTTCTTCTTCATCGCCATCCAATCTGAATCCTCAGCATCAGCACCAACTTTTCTCTTTTGGCCAACTGCTCCATCCGTCCTTGACGATTGAGGTCGGGTATTTCGTCTTGGTTGTGGTGCAGCATGAGAGGAAGAATTGCCGCTGACAACCCAAGTAAAACCGAGCTCTTGTAGCTTTTGATATCGCTCCTCATTTAGCTTCCCTTGGCTATAAAGCCTTAGCTGTATATAGACCCAACCTCCTAGTTTTCCATCCATCCTTGGTACCCTGCAGTGACTATGCTCATCTTGGAATTTCTTCAATTCAGCAAACATGGCCAACCACTGTGCTCCCAGTGGATCAGCAGCGCTTTTTGTGGGATTCCAGATGAAACCAAGCTCTTGCAGCTTTTGAAATCTCTCGTCATTCAGTTTCCCGTTGCTGTAAAGCTTTCGCTGTGTATTGACCCAAGTGCCAAGTTTTCCAGCTGCTCTTGGAACCCTACAGTGACCGTTTTCCTCTTGGAAATTCTGCAGGGTGGCAAGCATGGCCAGCCAACCTTCTCCCAATGGATCAGAAGGACCACGTATAACCCAAGTGAAACCAAGCTCTTGTAGCTTTTGAAATCTCTCTTCATTCAGCTTCCCTTTGTTGTGATAGTATCGCTGTGTAGAAACCCAACTGTATAGTTTTCCATCATGCTGTGGAACCCTGCAGTGACCATGCTCCTCTTGGAAATTCTGCAGGTTGGCAAACATGGCTAGCCATTCTCTTCCCAATGAACCAGAAGAATCATGTACAACCCAAGTTAAACCAAGCTCTTGTAGCTTCTGAAATCTCTCGTCATTCAGTTTCCCGTTCCTGTAAAGATTTCGCTGTGTATTGACCCAAGTGCCAAGTTTTCCAGCTGCTCTTGGAACCCTGCAGTGACCATTTTCCTCTTGGAAATTCTGCAGGGTGGCAAGCATGGCCAGCCAACCTTCTCGCAATGGATCAGACGAAGCACTTACTACCCAAGTGAAACCAAGCTCTTGTAGCTTTTGAAATCTCTCGTCATTCAGTTTCCCGTTGTTGTAAACCTTGCGCTGTGTAGAGACCCAAGTGCCTAGTTTTCCATCTGCTTTTGGCACCCTGCAATGACCCTTTTCCTCTTGAAATTTCTGCAGTTTGGCAAACATGGCTGTCCAATCTTCTCGCAATGGATCAGACGGAGCACTTACAATCCAAGTGAAACCAAGCTCTTGCAGCTTTTGAAATCTCTCCCCATTCAGCTTCCCTTTCTTGTAAAGGGTTCGCTGCGTAGAGACCCATTTGCCTAGTTTCCCATTGGTTCTTGGTACATTGCAGTGACCATTTCCCTGGTGAAATTTCTGCAGGCTGGCAAACATGGCTAGCCAATCTTCTCCCAATGGATCAGAAGAACCACTTATAACCCACGTGAAACCAATCTCTTGTAGCTTTTGAAATCTCTCCTCATTCAGTTTCCCCTTGTTGTAAACCTTGCGCTGTGTAGAGACCCAAGTGCCTAGTTTTCCATCACCTTGTGGAACCCTGCAGTGACCATGCCTTTCTTGGAATTGCTGCAGGTTGGCAAACATGGCTAGCCAATCTTCTTGCAATGGATCAGAGGAAGCACTTACTACCCAAGTAAAACCGAGCTCTTGTAGCTTTTGAAATCGCTCCTCATTCAGCTTCCCTTGGCTATAAAGCCTTCTCTGTGTACGGACCCAAGTGCCTAGTTTTCCATCACGTGTTGAAACCCTGCAGTGACCCCTTTCCTGGTTGAAATTCTGCAGGGTGGCAAACATGGCCGACCAATCTGGATCGGAAGAATCATGTACAACCCAAGTGAAACCGAGCTCCTGTAGCTTTTGACATCTCTCCTCATTCAGTTTCCCTTTGTTGTAAAGCATTCGCTGTATAATGGCCCATCGGTTTAGTTTTCTATTATGCGGTGGAACCCTGAAGTGACCATTTTCCTCTTGGAATTTCTGTAGGTTGGCAAACATGGCCAGCCATTCGTTTCCAAATGGATCATGTACAACCCAAGTGAAACCAAGCTCTTGTAGCTTTTGAAATCTCTGCTCAATCAGCCTCCCTTTCTTGCACAATTTTCTCTGTTCAGAGACCCAATTGGCTAGTTTTCCATGACCGTGTGGAACCCTGCAGTGCCCATTCTTCTTCTTGAATTCTTTGAGCTTCTCAAGATGGTCATACCATGCTGCATCATCTCGTGGAGGCATCTTGGAAGAGTATCACGTTGAAGACGCTCTACTACGGGGATACTAGAACAGATCTTCCAACAATACAGAGGGATAACAGTGCCGACGATTGGTTTCGTCCTGAGATATTGAATGTGGTTTCGTGATGAATTATATACGACGAGTTAATAATGGACGAAATGGCAGTAGTCTTCGCTCTGCCTTGTTTTGGAGCTTTGGCGCCCCAGTTGCCTTGGATCCTGTAGGCGAAAGATTATTCGTTTAGGGTTAGTATTCTGGCTGACAGTGCGAACCCCCGAACAAAATCTTAGCAAGCCCATCTCAGCAATAAGATCTGTTCCAAGACACCGAAGCAGGAGCAAAGACTGATTGGTATCTTAGCTAAAAGAGAAGGATAGGAGCAATAATAATGGCAATGAGAAAAGGAATCTCGAGACGGCGCAAGATGTTTCCCAGAGGGTATCTTTTGGTGGCCTTGGCTCTGGGGTGTCCCTTGCAACCATCCGATGCATTTTTGCTGCACCAGAATCATCAACCAATCGCATCATTGCTACCAAAATTGCCCCAAAGACACCACAGTGGAGGTTACTGCAATGCGTCCACAGGCGACAATGAAGAAGCCAGGCCATTATTGGAACGTCGCCAACTGTTGCAATCGGCTGTCCTGCTGTCTTCCTGCCTTTTTCGTCCAAGGTCCGCCAATGCTCGTGGTCTGGTGCAGTTTCCCGTTGATTCTTCGGCACCATTGGCCAATACATATCACTTTATGAGGGTTGGAGACACTCTGCTGGAAAAGGATGATATATGGACTACCAATCCACTGTTCCTGTACGTTTTATATACCAAATTCTGTCCGTGCATTGGATTCTGTTTTTCTGACTTACTTACGAACTGTCAATCAATCATTCCTTTATTGGTTTCTATAGAACCAACCGAGAAGCTGCCCTCACTCCTACCGGTATGGAACAAATCCAAGCTGCCAGTGTCCAACTGGAACAGACGCAACAAACACCCACCGTCATCAAGTACAGTTTGGCAGCCAGCTGCCTTGACACGGCTCAAATTGTAGGAGATATTCTCAATTTGGGAACAGATAGAATCATCCCAGAGTTCACCTTTTTGGATCCCAGAGGCATTGGCCAGTGGGACATGTACCGGTACTCGACCACATTGCCAGCAATTTGGGCTCTGGATGCCATGGAAGCAGGACCGGAGGGCAACGGTGGGAGACCTCCACAAAATACTGACGGGACACCCAATGAAACCTTGGCAGATCAGGTGGTGAGATTGCGGCAACTCATGTCGAGTAAGTTATCCATTGCATTGATTGATGGATAAACTTTCAATCATTGCTTGCTGATCACTTTGCTACCTGCTTGCCTACTCACTAATCTGCTTGCTGCATTTCACAATCCCTTCCAATCAAACATTGCGTTGATACATCATGGCTCTACCTACCATTCCTTCCTACCTATTGGACATCAACACGACAACAAACAAACAATATTGTGGCCCGTTGCTGTCCTCTAATACTGTAGTACTGGAAACCTTATATTCTGGAGAGACAATCCTTGTCATCTTCCCCGATGGTACTGGTCCAGCCTTGCTGTCGGCCATGATTGCCGGTATTCCACTCAATCGAGTCCATGAATTGGAATATGTGCCTGGAGAACTGCGAATGGACATTACCCAAGTCAGAACCCTCCAATTGTGGAAAGAACGGACTGAGAACAACAATGCGGCAGCAGGGTACCAACAAACACTGGCCAATGGCAAAGAGGAACTTGCCAGGTTACGAGCCACGGCAACCTCGGAAACACTCAGTTTGAAGGACCAAAACGTAGAAGCGGAACGAAAAGAAATCGAAAGAAACTATCAAAAAGAGCAGCAAGCCAAACAAAAGAAAAAGGAACAAGAAGAAGCGAAAAAACAAAAGTTAAGAGACGATGTAAGGGAAGAACAAGAAGCGAAAAGACAACAGTTAAGAGACGAACAAGAAGCCAGGCGGCTGGAGAGGCAACAAGGAGAAGGTTCTATTGACGACTCTTTGATGAGTACTACTACAAGTCCATCGATTGCTGCCGGTGCTGCCTTTGGGGTGGTTGGCCTGGCGGGAATGCTGGCATCACCATCATCTGGAAGTGACGACAATCGGGGTACCGCGAATGCAGGGAGTGGTGACCCGTCCGGAGATCCTAGCAGTGAAGCCAAGCTTGTTGCGACAATCACCGAAACAAAGCCGAGAGGTGACGAGTCCGATGAGCTGTCGTCCGATGTCTTGGTTCCAATATCCGAAGCATCGCTCAGTGCCGACAGCCCTCGCCTGGAAGCACCACTGCCCATGGTGCCTGATGTCAAGCCAACACGAGAGGATAAGATCCGAGCGGCCGAGGAGGCAATGGAAGAATTCCTGAATCAAGACGATGGCGCCGAAGATTGGCTTTTGACACTATCCCAATTAGCCGGGGAAGACGACAATGTCGATGATGAGCAAGATCCAAGCGACGTCGATGGCAGAGGTGCTTTGTAGAGCTAGCTAGTTAACTGCTAAGTTTACAAAAATAGAGCAGCATACAGTTTTGCAATGCCCTGAGAGATCTCCCACAAAGTCCGTTTGTATCTGTGCCCCACTGGCTGCAACAAAGTGCAACAGCTCGGGCAATGGGAGGGAATCGTTGTGTGGCTGCGAGCTGCAGAGCTTGTGACAGCCAACACCACGTTCATTCCAAAGGACCTAATGTTTTGTCGCGACCAAGAATCAACAAACCGGAGGTCCATCTCGAGATGTCCCACTAAGAGACTAAATCATCGAGGCGCGCTCGAGCACACTGAATTTGCTTCTCAGTCAACTGTCTTTGTGTTGCGATTGAACCAATGGTGCATGCAGTGGAGGCAAACTGAACTTCCGATTGAATTCGTTCCTCCCCGCATCTCTTGCTCTTGAATCAATCAATCTCAAGCAATCAATGATCTCATACTCCTACTGCCGCACTCATTCATTTCATTAGGTTGTTCGCGCATTGCAACCCCCCTGGATAACATCTGCTTTGGCTCGTTGCACTGCTTCCAGCAACCGCCAACCAAATACAGTACTTGGTTCGAGGCTCATTCCTTCGGCCCATTCGTTCATGGAATTGATGAGGACAAAACTGTCATTATCGCTGTTGTCATTGTCGTCATTGTCATGCAAACAACAACACGTTTGGTAATAAATGGCGGCCGTGAGACTCTGGGAGAACCTCTGGACGACCCGATCGGGTTCGTCGGCCGACCACAAATGCGCACTCTCCAGGTCCCGGCGGGGTGTATTGTCAAACGATGTCAGAATGCCCGGTAGTTCCGTGTCGATGCGCTGCTCGTTGTCGATACTACACCACTGTGGTACTTGAAGGACTTGTCGTTCCATCCAATCGAGTGGATAGGGATACGCCACTGTTTTGTTGACCAAATATTTGGGATATCGATCGCGTCGTTGTCCTTGTGACAGTCCGGATGGAAAGAGTTGTGCATGAGTAAAACTCATGCCCATGATAAAATACAGCGAAGGAAATCCATCTGCCACGGCCAGATCCCGCAAGCGTTTGAGAATGGGATAACTACTTGGTTTTCGTTGATGAATCATAAATACCGGTTGTCCTGCTACTTTGATATAGTTTGGATGATGAAAGAATTGTCGGAGCCATTGATAATGAGCGACAATGGCGTCGTCATCATTATTTTCGTCGGGAAAGTATTGTGTTTGGAGGACCGTGTCGCCCTGTTTATTGTTGGTGTGTTTTTTGGTAACTCCCAACCAGGTATCGACCCAACTACTGTCACACCAATTCAAGAAGAATGGTATATCCGGTTGGCCATCTTGCAGCATCGCCAGGAGCGGAGCGGATAGAACCGGTTGTTGTTCTTCTTCTTTATCATAGAACCAGTAATGATGAAAGACGAATCCATCCACTCCGCATTGCCGTGCGATTTGTCCCTGCCATTTCCGAACCGTGGCATTGGTCAAATCATAATAGTGCGAGTGGAGGGGTCTTGGAATTTCGAATCCCAGTCGATTGCGGAGCGGCGCCGCTCGTAGATTGTCCCAATCCGTAAAGCCGGGGCCCCATAATCGATCATTGAGTGGATCTTGGTGATACTGAGGAAACACAATGGCCAGCACGCGGGGGATTCCTTTTGTCGGTTTCATCGCTACGCTGGAAGGGAGCACTGGTGATGGTAGTTTCTCTTGGGTAGCAGTGGCAGAGGTGGTATCAATAATGGCAGATGATGATGTAGACACTGCAGCCTTGTTTCCTTCTAGAAGGATCAATTGTGAAATGCTCACAACTGCGCCAACCAAGCCAATCAAGACTTTGATCCAACCATAACTACTACATGAAGTACTAGTAGAAGTACCAGTACTACTAGTAGTTGAGGATGGAGACTTGCCCTTGCCGAGCCGCAGTCGTCGTCCCATTTGGCTCGGTTATACGGTACTGTATCAGCTACCGGTAGTCAGCTGGTCTTGTCTTGCACTAATCAGGACATCATCTTATACTCAACATCCATACTCCACTCCAACTTTATAGATAGCTCAAACTGGGCGGACACAGGATTTCACTCCGTGTCGTTGACATGGTCGACAGAAGATCTTCAAGCAATAAGCCAGCAAAGTCATGGCGACAAGTCCTCGAGGAATCTTTCCGCGACGGATCCTGCCCTCTTCTTCTAACTAAAGTAGTACCGTAGTAGCGGTTGCAAAGAAGAGACTAAAGAAAGAAAGGAAGGAAGAAAGAATGCAACAACTAATAACCGAGTTTCTCCAATCGACATTCCTGTTTTCAGGGTTTCCATACTCTAGCAATGCATTATTCGAACGAGAGCCTCTCGTCACCTGGGAACTGCCAGAGCCACTGCAGCACCTACTGCTCTCTTGTTCCAAGATACTCCATACAGATGACGATGCTGTTGTTGTCACCACAACCAATACTACAATGACAATGGGCATTATTCCACTGGATCCTGGATTCTGGATTTGCACCTTTGTATTATTGTCCCTACAAGCCCTCATGAACATGACAGTCGCACTGGTCACGTATTTTGCCATTGTCCAAACACAAGACGACAGCACCCGTCTCTTGATTGGATACGGCGTACTCGTGCCATGCTTGCTCATCCTGCCACCCGTTCTCTGCGCCTACTACGTTGAATTCCAGAGCTTGACGCTCATGCTCTGCCTGTTGGGTGGCATGCCCAATAAATTGGCATTGGCCGTCATTGAAGCCATTCATCAATGCTTGCCAACGTATGCTACTACTCATCAGGACAAGCGCATGCTCGTATTGTACTTTAGCTCCACGCTACAATTGAAATTTGATCCACACACACATCGACCCGTGCCATTTACACCAACCATTTTTTGGAACAAGCTAGCCTCTTTCATGACAGTATTTGTACAAACCAGCTTGCTCTTCAGTCTACTCTTGCCATACAACTATCAAGTCTTTCCACAACATCATACTAATACATCCATTCTGGGGACACTTGTCAATCTATATTCATGGGGAAATCTGGCCAATGGCTTCCTCATGGCGTCCATCACTTCCTTGGTGCTCGATGGTACGTACCGTACAGTAGAGTACATACTATGTGACCGTGATCGTCCCCCTCACTACTCTATGCTCTTTCCATAGGCGGCGCCTCGGGATTGGGATTGGTCACATCCATCTGTACGGGATACACCATGGAAGACTTTTCCGATGCACCCCTGACAAGCTGTACCAGTGTCTCGGATTTTTGGAGAAAATGGGATCGTCCGGTACAATCGTCACTCCGCAATGGATGCTATCGACCGCTCCGAAAGGCGACATTGTCCTCGTCCATGGCAGCCGTCGGGACCTTTGTCGCCAGCGGTCTCATTCATGAATACATGGTCGCGTTCATGACATTGGTCAAACGGGATACTCCCTACCAGCCAGCATACGGAAATCAGTTTCTATTCTTTTTGTGGAATGCCGTCGTCATGATGCTGGAACGATACTACTACTCTCCATGGTTCTCGGCCTCGGCGGTGGTGAACAATAGTGGTACTAGTAGTAATAAGTGGTACCATCTACCGCAACCGATACGAACCGCCTTGGTGTTGCTGACGGTCCTGCCCATTGCCTTTCTCTTTACGGATGAATATGTTCAGTCGAGCTTTTACACTGATGCCGTTTGGGCGTTTCCACTGGTGGTGGTAAAGACGACAACACGACAACCATAAAGAGTCTTCTAGCCAGCCAGCCAGCAAAATGTTTGCTTCGATAGATAGCTAGCTAGACATCATCACTCCAGCTCCAAGGCATGTAGTTTTGTTGGCTGCTTGAAAGCAGAGAGTACACTTTCCAGGCAATGCTCTTCATCTGCTCTTTCACACAATCGATACCCTTGTAGTTAGTTGTCCGCATGCTCTCGGGATGGTTCAATGCAGCAGCCACACCTCAGATTTCCAGGTGGTACAGTTGAGTGGACCATCCATTCCATCGTCATGTCTTCCGATCCTTCATTCATTCATTCATTCAATTTGACAAGGATGGCAACAGTATCGATGTAGCGACAAACACAGTTTCCACTTCTTGCACCCATTCACTCAAATGGCACCAATCTGGTGCAGAATCCCACAAGGGTCCACTGATCCACCGGTTGGTATCCAGAAAGGGAACATGCATTTCTTGAGCCACTTGCTTCAGTACTGCATTGTATCCATCAATGACCATGGGGTTTCTCCAATCGGTTGGTGGGCAGCTTTGAATTGGGTTCCCGAGTGGATTGTAATGAATGGATCTCAAGTAAAACCGAACGTCATCATGATCTTGATCCACAATCCAATGTTGCAAGCTGGCAATCATTTTCTTGACATCCTTATAGTACTTCCATAAGCTATCTGGGTGTCCATGATCAAAGCTCCCGGGCCATTGTCCATTTGCAATGACGAATCGATTACAGCCTTGTTGCTCTACACCTTCGGTTTGCAACAAATGCGGAGTCACATTGGCTGGATACGATGCTCCCACCATGCCGGCACCAAGGTTGTGTGGGTTGATGGTTTTCCTTTTTTTGGCCAAGTTTTTCATTTCGTTCTTTCCATAGAATGGAGCATAGCCCATGGGTTTGAATCCAAGTCCGACTGCGGACTTATAGTAATCGCCTGAGTGACTGGCACCTACAAAACAAATAACCTCCTTGCTGCTGGATTGTCGCTGTTGTGGTAGTTGTTGAAATGCAGCAGAGAGTTCCAACGGAAGAGTTGTCTTTTGTTGTTGTTGTGTGTGTTTATTGGTATTCCACTCAAAGGAGTATGGTTTGTATCGTTCAGTATTGACTTGTTCATAGCATGATGGGGATATTGACTGACCCTCTCTTCGATCAAAAAAACACTTGGTTGATTGCCACCGTGTATGGAGCGGCAATGGAGATGTCCCCGTCCAAAATCCCAGTGGCGTGTTGCTGATTGTAGTAGTAGTAGTAGTGGTTGCAGTAATATTATTTGCAATGGTAATGGTGGCATGATCTTGAGTGAGTCGATGATGCCTCGAGTTTTCGGGACAGAATGCGGTAACGGAATATTGCATCAGTGATTTGGCTTGTGGATCGTCGGAAATCCATTTGGCAAATTGTTGTGTTGTGTTTTGTTTTTGATGCTGTCGGAGTTGGTAATACACATCTTGACAAAAGAGCCCCACGACTTCTATAAAAAAGGTAGAACCTGGCTGTTGTTGTTGTTGTTGTTGTTGCTGCTTTGGTGGCAATTGATAGGTTCCCTCCATGGTGGTGACACAATTGGTAAGGATATTGGTAGCGCCACCAGTGTGACTAGGCATTTGCACACATGAATGTGGATCATCGAGTGGGATTTGTTCTGGCTTGAATGTCCAATTGGTGATCATCAAGAGTGCTGGACCGGATAACCTTCCAATCAAGTATGGCCTTGGACAGCGAGCATTGGGTGCAAACGTCACGACAATTTTGGAGTGTAGAGGTGTATGATGAATGGAGATAATGTCTTCGTGCCACACACTGGTTGGATTTAACTCCACTAGCTCACCAGTTGTATTATCGTCGTCTATGGTAGATGGATGACGATAGAGGACACTGTTGTTGAGTTGATCACCGGGTTTTCTGGTTGGCTGCAATGTTAACAAGGTTATCAGCGCCACCAGACCGGCTAACACTAACAATAAGACCCGCCTTGGGATCTTGCATGTACTAGTGCTACCAGTTGCACTCATTCCAGCAACTTGTTGCTCCTTGGCTCCATCGTCCGTCACCAATGCCTTCAATTCCACATTCCCCTCGTCCATGGTCCAAAGTCAGTACTGTACTGAAGTGCAATCCACAATGTGGTGAGACAGGCGATACATGTACTGGTACCGACTGGTACTGTTCCTACTATAAACTATAGACTGCTGTGCTGTTCCCACTACCACACGCAACCTGAATCGAGTCAATCGAAGAAGCCGCCCATGGCTCCTCGCAATGAACTCACCGTAGTGCCGGCTTATTGCTTGGGCTTCGGTTGGATCTTTCGAAGAAACTGAACCAAAGGCGAACAATCAAGTCAAGTCAATCAAGTCAAGTCAATCAAGTCAAGTCAAGTCACAAAGAGATACCTAACCACCACGGGCATCAACAACTCACAACCATCCCATCCCATCCCATAATACAGTACTAACGTACAGTAATAACAAACAAAACAGAAATCGAACAGAACGAACCAACCAATACAATACAATACAATACAGTATGGACCCTGTGACAATGATCCAAATCAAGCGGTGCCATGATCGCCCGCATACGGATAAAGAGTTGGAATGGTGGATCCAACAGTACACTGCTGGCAGTATTCCCGAGTATCAAATGTCGGCGTGGCTCATGGCTGTTTGTTGGAGAGGCTTGAATGACCGGGAAACTGCCACGCTGACTCGGGCCATGGTGGAATCGGGAGAACGAGTCGACTGGAATTCTACTGGCACATGTACTAACGACTCATTAATGTTGCTGGTGGACAAGCACAGCACGGGTGGAGTTGGAGACAAGATTTCTCTCGTTCTGGCACCCTTGGCAGCCTGTTTGGGCGCTCATGTCCCCATGATGGCGGGACGAGGACTGGGTCATACTGGTGGAACCATTGACAAACTCGAGAGCATTCCGGGATATCAGACTTGCCTGTCAGTAGAAGCGTTTCAATCGCAAGTCAAAAATGTTGGCTGTTCCATTGTTTCGCCCAACGAGACACTTTGTCCTGCCGATCGCAAACTATACGCATTGCGAGATGTCACTGCCACTGTGTCTTCCATACCGTTGCAGACAGCTTCCATCATGTCCAAAAAGATTGCCGAAAACCCAAACATGTTGGTATTGGATGTCAAGTACGGTGCGGCAAGCTTTCAAAGCTCTTCCGCCGATGCCGAGCTCCTGGCGCATTCCATGATTGCAACGGGACAAGCCAATGGCGTCCAAACCAGTGCTTTCATGACACACATGGATCATCCCATTGGATACGCCGTGGGCAACTGGCTTGAAGTGTACGAGTGCATTCAACTCATGAAGACGGGAAAGGGATCCAAAGACTTGATCACGCTGGTGGTGGTTCAAACGGCACAACTGGTACATTCCCTCTATCCCGATCTGTCCTGGGAGGATATGGTCCACAAGACTTTTGACACACTCCAATCAGGTCAAGTACTCCACAAGTTTCGTGAAATGGTACACGCGCAAGGAGGAGACGCCGTGGTGATTGACGAATGCCCCCCCAATCAAGGGGTGTAAAATACTCGTTAGTTTAACAAACTATGGCCACGGAGTGGCTTTAGTGACGCGGGCAATGGGTGGGGAATCCCCCACCTAGCTGAGTCGTCATCCACGTAAATTCTGCGCAATGTCAGGTCATTCCCAAGGGGCCCGGATGGGCCCCCATTAGTGGACAATGCTGCACGAGAGTGCAGGAGAGGCTGACAAGGGCAGCACCTGGAGCGCAAGGCATACCCAGGATTTGAAAGCATGTTATTCATTTGTAGTGATTCGCCCAGTTTGAAGGTAGGTGTGCATTGATCGTTGAAGTTGTTGTTGTGTGCGGAGTTGGTAGGTTGTGCGCAGTCGGCCATGGGCAGCCCTAGCCAGTTTGATGGTTTCGAGCCAGCGAAGGGTTTTTGGGAGTGACAGGTTGAGGTTGATTTCTCTGTAGTCAAGATCGAGGCGCAGCGGTCGGTGGGAGGTAATGGTGGCATCACCTTTGGAGTACTCTTTCAGGATTTCCTGTCGGAGGGGTGGAGAGGTGGGAGAGTTGGGTGGGGGTTGGTTTTGGACCGTGTAGTGCATCGTTCCTGTGCTCCCACATGCGGAAGTGAAGCATCCACAGTTCGTTTGCCAAGGCAGTTGCCCAGCTGGTGCCATCACCTTGTTTTCCGATGGAGTGTAAGTGGAGCTCGTGGGCAGGTGCAAAGTGGGATTGCGATTCTGCCAAGTAGAAAATTCCACCATCCCAGTTTGGCCTGTGCACGGATCCGTTTACAGTGCTAGGATTCCAGATCCCATCAGAGAGAGGTTTGTGTCCCTTTTGCCAGTGATGGAGTTGGGTCAGGATCTGCTTGGTCATCATGGGTCTGTGTGGCGTTGTGCAACCAAGTTTTCAGCTTGGAAATCTCCTGGTTCCACTTTTGGATGGATGCTGGGTCTTGGCAGCGTAGTACATGGAGGTGTCTTCGTCGGCTGTTCCACACGTGGGCAATCGCTGTGAGCCTGCCATTGGCGGTGTTGCAGCTGGCGTCCTACACCACAGTGGCCTGTTGCTGTTTGGTGATGAATCTTTGGATGCCAATTGGTGCCTTCCTCATGGCCCTACCCATTGCCTCCCAGTTGATAGTGTTCCAGCGCTCTGTCCAATCCGCTTCGGAATAGACGACGTTAAGAACTCTTTCCTCGCGCTGCTTCCAGTGTGCCTTGATTTTTGTCTTCCCAAAGGGCCTCGTGCATCTCACGGGGGTGGAAACGGCTAGTTTCTTACCCTTGTGCCGGAAGATGACGCGCTCGTTGGTGAAGGGTAAATTAGGGCACGGGGGGAGTGATCCTTGAGTCCACTGGGATTTGGAGCAGTATCCATTTCAATGTTCAGGATTGCCCAGCGGTCGAGGCAGCCGTGGTAGAGTCGGGTTCCCTGTAACATGTCCTGGGGGAGGATGCGGAGGGCTCGAGGGCTGTCGTCCTGGTGGCCTTTAACCCATCGGAACTGAACGTCGATCCCAGTTCCTGATCTCATCGATAACAGCTCGGCCCTCGACACGGAGGTCAAAGTCTTTGCTATTGCACTGCGGGTTGAAGAGGGTTTCAAGGGCAGTGAGAGCTGCTTGGCCATCACACCAATGTAATGCTCCCATAGTGATTTCATGGAATACAGATGGTCGCATACGATGAGTGCCCCAATAATACCTGCCAGTTAACTTCGAAGGGAAGAATGGTCACCCGGGGAACCTGGGACAGAGAACTGGCCGTTGATCCTGCCCTTGTGGTCGGCTCCTTCAAGGACGAAAGCTGCAGTGCCAAAGGAATCTTTGTAGGACCGTCGCTAACCTGAATGCCGGAGCCAGTCAAGATGGTTTCGCAATCTGGGAGCCATCATCGTAAAGCGAAGGTGTCCTAGCGCCATTGGTCTGACTGTGGAAGCTGACCAGGGCATCTTGGAGGGATGGGGAGCACAGGGGGGG